GGGGCTCTGAGCAACCTGATCTAGTTAGCGGTGTCCCTGCTCACTGCAGGGGGGTTGGACTAGATGACCTCTAGGGGTCCCTTCCAACCCAAAACATTCTATGATTCCATATTTAAGTGAAAAACGTATCAAAAATGTCTTGCTTTTGTGTAAATGCTTTTGAGTTTCAAATATGCATCTGTCAGAAAAAAATGCATCTGACAGGTTCTGTTTCCATGTCACACAAAAATAACTAGGCCACTTAAAGGCTTATCAGACTTCAGGAGTATTTTAACAAGAGAACCACCTCATCACCTTTTTAAATGAGGCAAGCAATACCCACAGTGATGCCCACTGCCATTTAAGTTTCTGTGGGTTCCAACTGTCTCTTAGCATTCACAAAACACAAAACTTCTAAAGCACCAAGTCTATAATTGATGTATGTATCTTTTCTTTAGAGGACACAAACAATGCTTCACATACTTCAGCGGTGCAGGTAGAATTGTCTGGTAGTTGTAGTGTTGTTGCTGTTGGCTCAGGATCTGCAGCTGCAAAAACAGTTGCTGCTGTTGTAGCAGACGAGCATAGTTGGAGTCCATCTGTGGCTCGTTTTTCTCACCTTTCTGATCAGGTGGAATATATTGATGATATTTCAATTTTTTCACCCTTGGCTTAGGTTCTTTACATTTCTTGCTCCGATGCTTATCATTTGGATTCTTCGGATGGCTTTGCTGTTTATGGATGGAAAAGATTGAAACAACTATAACAGACATCTCATTTACATGCATGTATGCAAGGTACAAAGACAAAGCATACAGGAGCGCATTTACTGCAAAGAGTTGTCGAGTACAATTATCCCTGCAAACCTGCCCAAAAGGATCGCTTACCATCCTTGAAAAGTTAACGTACTCCAGCTGGCTTATACATGAGAATCACAGTTTGTGAATGGTTTTTTAATAGATAGTACAAATGAAGCTAAGGGATTCTGCTAGTCATGACCTGTCATTGCAAAGAGGCATCCTTCTTCAACAGGTAAGTTCAAAGCCACTTAGCACTTTGTACAAGTAAAAGCTGGTATCTTAGTCTGTCTGTAAACACTTGCAGGTCAGAAGAACTTATAGGTCTAGATTAAAAGCATGAACAGGGAGTCCTATAAATTACAGCGTTACTCTTAAGAAACTTTCAGGAGCATTGTTATTAGCAATACCTGCGCATGCAGTAGAACTCCCTTCCTTTACAAGCTCTTTGAAATTATTTTGAGTGAAAAGTTGAAGAGAGTTACCTAGTCAAACAGAAGGTATCAAAGCAGAAATCCTGTGTTGATCCATGCACATTTATTACACAGATAGCCTCTTTTGGGGATATCTGAATTTGTCATTAAGGTCCTGCATTAAAAGTAAGCTGGTACAAGTCCAGTGATTTCACTGTATATAGCCAAATTTATATTAGAAATTGACTATTAGAGGTCATCCTTGTAAATGTAACCAAGAATTAATTTCATGTAGTTAGGTAGAAGTCTACATACATATAATCATTACACAGCTGAATACCTTTGACAAAGTTAGTGAAATGAAATATTACAGATATCTTTAACACAGCCCCTTCTTCTAACTGTATTTGAAAAAGTTTTCCATGCTGCTGGCTAAGTCAGTGCATAAAAGAGAATTGAGTATGTTCTTTTGATATTTAAATACAAGGATACAGTAACTTCTTTCACACAGTGTATTCTGCTTATACAATAAATGAACTAAGAAAATAGTTACAGAAAAGGAGCAATGCTGTTCACCAGTTTGGTTACAGGTAGACTACAAATGTGGTTGCCTCCATTCTTATTAAATTATCCTTGATACAAAACGAGATTAGAAATATTATTTTCACCAATAGAAAGTAGAAACTCAATATTGCAAGAATCCTTTGTCCTTATTTCTTAAAAACTTCCATAGCAATATAATGCATAATTCTGCTTGAAAACTTTTGTCAGCTGTACTGTAAGGATCTCTTGAAATAATGAGCCAGTCCCTACAAGTATTAGTGTTTGATCCTAGCGTACAAAAGCTTTCAGTCAAGAACCCAGTATGTTCTCCTCAACACTAATAAAAATTGTTGTTAGAAGCACTATAACATTACTTGTGTATTTTTCATTAAATATAGCATTGGAAAAGGACATAGATTAAGAACATAGTCCTCAAATGCCATTATTACAGATACCTACCTTTACCAATGTTGGCCCAGGCTTTGCTGCAGATACAGTATTTGTGATCAGGGTGGTTGTAGCAGTAGAACGTGTAAGGTGCTGTTCGATTGTAGAGGGAGTTTTGAGAAATTCAGGAACTGGAGAGGTTAAAGGTGGATACTAGTATTAAAAAAATATAAGGAAAAAGAGAAACATTAAAAACATCCACTGTCTGAATAATTGAAAAAAATGTGAAAAGGTTAAGACAATTTACTATCATGTCAAATTCACAAAATATTTTTAGGGAATGGCGAAAACAGGACTTTCATGTACATTTTGTCACACTTCAAATATAGCAAATAAGATAAACTGTACTCTTACCTTGAATTCTTAGTTTGCATTTTAACTACTGCATGTAAATGTATCCAAAATCTGTTTTTACTAATACAAGATTTACTTCTAGTTTCATCAAAGCAAAACAGTAATTGATTTTAATACAAATTTTTCCAACATTAACATTTTTCTGCAGGTAAAGAGAATGATAGCTAAAAAGGATTTATAACAACATACAGAAAAAGCCCTCAGGAAGGGCTTTGTTTTCATAACCTTTACACTGTTTTAATTTGCAGAATTCTTTTCTCCTTTTAACATACATGAAAACAAATAAATACCATGAAAACATTTTCTTTCAGTCTTTCTTACAAAATCATGAAAAAGGCTGGAAGGACCTTCAGAAGTAACCTCATCCATTCAAGTAAGGAACATTTTACTTAAACTGCTGCTAACACGTATTTGTCTCTGCTTGGTAGCCCAGAATCAGATTAACTAATTGATGCCAGTTCTTAACTTTACAATTGCAAAATTATTCAAGAACTGACAGCTGTCATTAAAGTACTTCTGCTCCTGCCATAAGGATAAAAAAAGATATTTTCTCTTCAAAGTAGTCAGTCAGAATTACAGGAAATGTTTGTATCAAATAAAATACTTTCTTTGTTAATGTTACCAAGTCTTGTACATGAAGGTTTCTAGAACTAAAGAACTACAGATTTTAAGAATATAATTTCTATACTTTTATAGACAACTAAGTACAGAAAAATAGTTCAAATAAAATGTTATTGATTATAAATAAAAGGAGATATAAGGGTTAAAAATAATTAAAGGAAGAATGGAATGAATTGTTAGCAATTGTTAGCAGAGGTACCACCATTTGTTATTACTCTGGTTGAAGCAACATTAAAATTTGACCCTAGACACAGTACGCATATACTGAAGCACCCTACTGAAGTTACAGAAAACACTGCTTTATTACTACAGAATTGAGGCATTCACTATTTTCTGTCTGTGAAGTCAGAATCTTGTGTACACAAGGAGAATCCTACCACCAGACTGTCAGAAAAGCCTTTCTTTCATGAGAGTCAAACATCAATGTGGGAAAATGAACTTCTTGTTTCAGAATGATCACGCAGCAGCAGAGCAGATGTATCTTGAAGAGACATCTTCCTATTCTATTTTCATAGCAACCACACCTCTGTGCCAGGAGGTGCGTTTCTTCTATACTTGACTGCCGGCACAATTATAGTACTGTGTAGCTACAGTTCAGTAGCCTGAACTTTACTTAGTTTGTTCCCTTGCTGTTACAAACATCATGTGTGTAATTTCTTCTAAAAACTTAAGAAATTCCATATAGGCTTAGGACTTTTTTGTTATTATTCCCTTCCTGCCACTACTACGCCTACCAGAAAATTCCCAAAAGTTTTCCTACATAATAACCAAACCTCACTGAGCGTCACTCTGGCATATCAAATTTTTTCTGTGCTGAAATTGTTTTCTGATTTAAAACCTATTTCCTTCTGTGGCAAATATCCCTCTGATGGGATATAGACTCTGTACATAAACAGATCTCAGCCCTTGTTTTTCTAGCTACACAAATGGATTCTTATTCTTTTCTCACTACAGAGAACTTTCATTCTCTGATCATCCTTTCCTGTTTGTTTTTGTTACAGTTTCCATTAGTCTTTCTTGGATATAAGTAACTGGAAATGTGTAAGATGTTCCATATGGGGTCTCACTGCACCATTACAGTGGCATTAACACTTCTGCTGGAATCATCTCTTCTGACACACTTGCACTTTTACAGGAGTACACAGTAGCTCACAGTCACTTCACTGCTGATCACTGCACCCCAGCTGTCTTCCTCCTCCTTCTCTTGAGTCAAGAGTCCCCAGATTTCCAGATTTCTTTTCCAGGGGAAGTAGAAGTGTTGTGTATTTTTCTTTTTAAGAACTATTCATTGTATTGGAATTCCGTGTCTCTGCTAAAAGCCAAATCAACTGGGCCTTTCTGCATATCAATAATGCAACTCTGTGCTGACTATGCCTTCCAACTTCTGTTATGTGACCCATTCTTATGTCAAGGTTGTTAATGCTAACATGAAACCAGAATGTCCCCAAATCAACTCCCACAGAGCATTATTACCAACTTCCTTTCAACCAAATACTTCCCTCTTTCTGTCTTATCTCTGCTAATCTCCATCTTCTCCAGTTTTGCTAGTGTTTAACACCATGCAGTATTAAATCCAGACATATGAGATTAGTTGTATTTTCATTAAGAAAGCAATTAGATCACCCAGTACACATTCCTTTTATAAAAGCCCATCCATTTCCCTTATATTCCTATCGGTAAATATTTTCTTCAGAATATATTCTAAAACCTTGCATTCTAATTGTCAGGGTACTTCTCCCTAATTCATTCCTTCCTGTGCTCTACTATTCTTCCATGAGATTGTACCACAAAGGACTTACATCAGTTTGCTAAAACATTTGATACCATTTTGTAAGTTTATGTTCTGGTTCTTTTGTACTTCTGGGATGGCAATTATCAAGCTGCCAGTCAGCATGCACTAAGCTCTCTGACTTTTGCTTACAATTAAATTGCAATAATTTTCCCTCTATCTCTGCATTTCTTTTATGTATTTCACTGTGTCTCCAACCGCCAGCTGCCACAGGCAGCTATAGCTTGTTTGCCATACCCTATCTAAACTGTATAGTGGTTTCGGTCCTTCTGTAGTGCAGCTATCCAGAGGAAAAGATCCTGGTACTGGTTTAATAAATTGCAAGATTTAGTATGCCACGCCTAGTCACTAAACGTTCCACACATGCCTGTCTTGGGGTTGTGTCATTTTATGGTGGCAGTGTGAAGATATAAATGCCTCTATTTTTATATCCAACTTTCAAAGTGTTTGCTCTGGAAAGCATCCAATATCTACACAGTATCTGTTATTTGCTGGACTTGCAGTAGAATTGACAGGGGACTTTAGAGGGACTTACCCTTTAAAAGGTTCTGGATGCTGTATTGCAATATATTGCACTCCTGTTGCTATCAAGTTTAAAAGTCTTATTCTAGTTACAGCAATAACATTTTAAAAAGCACTTAGTGTGTTTTTGATTCAAAATGTCATGTACAGTATTATCAAAAAGCACAGGAGAATTCTAATGATCTCATGATTTTCACTGGTTCTTACATTTTCTTTTCCTGAAGTCCCATCTAAAAAGCATTTTAAATGTTTGATACTTCAGCTTATTAATTACATAATCTTTTACCATTCATCATTCTGATCCTTCTTGAACCCAAACAAATAACTTGACTTCAAACATACTCTTTACAAACCCTTTATAGGCTATGAAAACAACACTGTAATGACAGCAAAACAAAAATCTTTAAGATGGAAAAGTTAGTAACTTTCAAAAAAACCCCAAACCACCCCCACCTCTTTAATTCATATTGCTTGAAACTTAGGGTGTTAAATATTCTCCGTGTTAAATACTCTCCTCTTGCCATAGGAAAAGTTACTTTTTCCTTACATTAGCTGTTATACTCAACTAAAAAGGATTAATGGCTACGTGAAATACAAAACTTTTGACAGACTTCCCAATTTCACCTGAAAATGTTAGATGAGGCAATGAACCACACATATAATTTACTCAACATATTTTTAAAATCAAAAAACTAGATGAACAGGTCTGAACTTCTTAACTTGATTACTTCATAAAGTAATTTAAAGATTATTTCCTTTGAACAGATCTTCTATTTCCAGTTACAGATAATATGATTTCTGGGACTTTTCTTCTACCTGCAAACAAGCATCTATCAGGTCAACAAGCTACAGTGAATATATTAATAAAACAGTCATTATATTCTGTCTCATCAAGGAAAATACTTCAGCTATTTTGAAGATAACTGTTTAGCGTCTTCAGAATTGTGAACACCACAATTCGATCTGTTTAGAGTGGTGTGGTTAAAATGCCTAATTCTTACCAGATGCAAATAAATCAGGTTCAAGCAAGTTTTAGGTCAGTCAATGAGTTATATTACATCCTCCGAGGCCTGGAAATGTATGGAGGAGGAAAAGAACTCTGGCTGCACTCCACTGTTTTCAAAACGTTCTTTGTATTTTATGTTGTAATAAAATGTAAAATTTGTCAGAGGAAATTAAAAGAACGAAGGAGCAATTTCCCAGACATATCTCCTGTAGAGACATGCTGTGCTGTTATTCTTTATTTCAAAAGGAACAACAAGGTAAGCATCTGTTTTATTCTGCAGAAGAGAAGCTTCGCATTTTAGATCTGTGCGCAGAAGCAGCTGTAATATGTTATGAAATCCATAAGCAAGGGGTTGAAGTGCTATCTGAAGTGCTTTTTCAACCAAGTTCAAGTGCTCTGTTATTTTGTTGCTGCACTCAGACATCTATCTTATGCTTCCTACTTGAAAAGCTTTTGGCATGTATTGCTTTGAATATTTTTATTTAACTCTCCATTAGGAACCTAACTTTGCTTAGGAATCTAATTTCATGTGGTTTGTTTTCAATTTATTCAACACAAATTACATTCTATTGATGTGAAACCCAATTCACATAATCTGTATGTTAGGGAACAATAAAATAAGATGGATGTGCTGTACTTTGTGTCCACCATTGTTTCTGAATATCAACTTTGCAATGCTTTTTCTATCTACTATAGTAATAAGAAAACCAAGGAGAGTAATTACAGATTCTGAACTACTCCATTGTCAAGCATCCATGGTCATTAAAACAATATCATCTTTGGAGCACAAACAATATTTATGTCATATTTAACTATTTAATTTTACATTAATTTATACAGCAAAAACTTAATACTCATTTCTGGTTTATCTTTTGTTTGTGTCTTAATTTATAAATTGCAGCACAGTTCCCTATGTAGGGCCCTCGCTTTGGTATGGAACCTCTGAGAGTTTAAATACATAAATAAATGCATTTTCCAAAAGAACGCTTACTAAAAAGACAAGCATGAAAATAATTTGAACTGCAAAGTTATGCATCTTTTTCTTCTTTGTATAGTGGAGAAAGTAATGAAGGAACACTCTTAGGAAGTCCTCCTGAAAAAAATCCATTATAAATTACAGTTGATCAACATTAACCTGAAGAATATTACACATTTATAGTAGTACCACATTGGTCAAATTTTGATACACTCTTAAATTCTTTCAAAATAAAGTATTTTAATATTTGTTTTATACAGGCTAACCCAATTTGTTTTTACTAGGTACAGACTTGCATGAAATGAAACAAGTTAAAGCCCTAAAGCTTTTGAATTTCCGTCAGATTCACACTTTCTGCTTAGGGAATACTCCTCAAATTCATACACAACATCTCAGCTAACTAAACTAAAATGACATTACCGAAATGTGTTTGCTTATACATGTGTGGTATATTGATACCAAGTACACAAAGCTGAGTGCAACATTACTAAACCGATGTCATTTGTAAGTCACTTCATATATATAATACTGTGATGAAACCTCAAGTCTTTCCACTAAATACTTAATGAAGTGTAAACATGGATAGTATGGTAAAATGCATCAATCTGAAATATAAATTGGGGTGTATTAAGAGGAGTGTGGCCAGCAGGTCGAGGGAGGTTCTCCTCCCCCTCTACTCTGCCCTGGTGAGACCCCACCTGGAGTACTGTGTCCAGTTCTGGGCTCCCCAGTTCAAGAAAGACGAGGAACTCCTAGAAAGAGTCCAGAGGAGAGCTACTAGGATGATAAAGGGACTGGAGCATCTCCCCTACGAGGAAAGGCTGAGAGAGTTGGGCTTGTTCAGCCTGAAGAAGAGAAGACTGAGAGGGGATCTCATCAACACATACAAATATCTTAAGGGCGGAAGTCAAGAGGACGGAAGCAGTCTGTTTGCAGTGGTGTCCAGCGACAGGACTAGGGGCAATGGATGCAAACTGAAACATAAGAGGTTTCAGTTGAATATGAGGAAGAACTTCTTCACTCTGAGGGTGGCAGAGCACTGGAACAGGCTGCCCAGGGAGGTTGTGGAGTCTCCTTCTCTGGAGATATTCAAAGCCCGCCTGGATGAAGTCCTGTGTAGCATGCTCTAGGTGAGCCTGCTTTAGCAGGGGGGTTGGACTAGATGATCTCCTGAGGTCCCTTCCAACCCTTACGATTCTGTGATTTCTGTGTGATTTCTGTGATAAATTATTTTTTGGTGATAATATAGCTGCTTTCATTTATGTACCCCAGGAAAATGGGCTTACTGGGAGAAACAGTAGTTTAGGATCAAGGACTTCTTTCTAGCATATGTGATTGCTCAGCACACACATAAATTTGGTTCAACAACTCATTCAGCATTGATGCAAGGCAAAATTTTTGTTACTCGTCATTTCAACACATAAACACAAACTAATGGTTCCTCTGGGCAAGTATAACTCAGAATATAAGCACAATTTGTCATTTACTTAGCTCTGTCAGTCTCAAAAGAACAAGTTGTTAATGAGTGGAGATGAGTACTGTTAAATCCAGCTAGTTTGGAGTTCAAGCTTGTTGCCATCAGACAATGTATGATGACTTTGCTTGCCTTTCCCTCCACTGGAGCCTTAATTTGGGTCTCTCTATCCAGAGAAAAAGTTCCATGATAGTTGCAGAAATCTAGTTAAAATCAAAGCCTTCTCCTCTTAACCAGGCTTAAGTTAGTAAGTTTAAAATTACTAGCTGAGGTATGACAGAAAACATCATAAACAATCTATTTAAGCTGAACACAGTAACCCTTAAATAAATACATGTTTCTCATTAATGTGAATAAACTTACTGATGAACTCAAAGGTGAAGATAAAGACCTGTGAAGCAAGCTCCGTACAAGGTATTTTAGAAAGCATCCAGTTAACTGTATGATTGTGATATAACCCCATGTTTTCAGTAGCTAATAGAAGATAAGAGAAATTAATTTGTAGCACATGATGTTCGTTTCATTACCGTTTTGGCAAATTAGTTTACATCAGCACTTTTTATAAAGGGTTTAAAGATAGGGTAGGCGATGTTACTGTCCATTTCAAATCAAAAAAAACTTTCAAAACTAATTTTTGCAACTCTTCTGAAAACAGTCAAGTATTTTCATTCAAATCCACTGTTCTTTAAGTTCTCACATTTAAATGCTCTACTATAAAGACAACATTTTATCTGCCATGGCAGGCTTAATTACTTTCCTTTCTTTCTAAGTAACTTGAGAAAATACTTAAAAACCTCACAGAAAAATCAATATAAAGGTTATTTTCATTCTGTAAATTCTTTAGGCAGTATTTTAAAACTATAGGAGAGAACGTTTAAATAATGCCGTGAAGCTTATTTTTATGGACTTTTCTGGAGATAATGGAACTGATGCCAACTGTTGTTGTTTCAGCTAAGTTTAATTCTAAACGAGTTCAAGACCTTGCCCAGAATGAAGACAGACATGAAGTAATCAATAACAGCTGGGGTAAACCATGGATATGACCTTTGAACAATTTCTGGGAAAACTGTAGATCTTCTACAAGCCATAATGAATTTCAGTGAATTTATGGCTTTACTACAGTTTATGGGAATTTCATCACTGCCATCAGCTAAGCCAGGGTTCTAGTTTATCTCCTCACAAACAGAAAGTGGAGTCCCAGACACTCCTTTGCAACAGCAAATGTATTCACTCCATGTGAAGCCATGCCCCATTTCTATAGTGCCAGACCAAAAAACATACTGTGAAGATTTTGTTTCAACATTAAGAGCTGTACCTGTGTTGACGTAGTAGCATTTGGTGTTATTGGTGATGGTGAGTCACTTGGTTTTGGCTCACCAGGGGAAGCTGCTGAGCCCTGGGATTCTTGGCTTGCTGGCTGATCTGGTGATAAAGCATCACTGCTATCTTCATCAAATGAATAATCATCCAAAGCTTGAGGATAATTCTCTTGTCCAACGGCTACAATGTTTACAAAGAAACAAGCAAAAGAATTTTTTTTAGTTACACAAATTAAATTTAGACATTGGTGGCAGAATTAGCTAATTGCTAGAAAATGGTCAGTTTTCAGTACAGTCTAAACATATGCTAGGTAAGTATTTATTGTGTTTTTAATATAATGAAAGCCATATTAAATCATATTCAAGGAATCAATAAAACGAAGTGCATAGCAGAAGTTATCAAAATAAGAGATTAAAAGGTATGTTCAACATGTGGAATGCACATAGACACCTATAACAGATTGAGTAATGGCCACATATGTTAGATTATTTTGTAATAATTTTTATGAAGAAACAAGTCTTTTCAAAGACAGTATTATACTCCAACTATATAATTCTCACTTAGTTTCAAATAAAAATAGGGTAACTTTAATTAAATGATGACAGAATTTAGGACTCAGAAGCTGAAAAAATAAGTAGTAATAAACTTTGATTATGTTTTCTTCTATTGAACTTTATCCACAAGAGTTAAATTATTATTTTCCTCAATGCCATATAGATAATAGATAGAAGCTGTGGGACTTCTACTTGCCTATAATAGCTTCTTTAACGCTGGAGTCTACAGGAAGAATATTTTTTTCTACCAGTTCCATAGGACCAGGCCTCTGAGCAATCTTCTCATTCAGATCATCTGCCAATCGAGCTCTCTTCAGTTTCATCTGAGTGGCTTGTAGCGAAGGCTCTGCAAAGGTCTCTAAAAAGATATACTGATTTAAACATTCTGTTCCATCTTTTCCCCACTTCATGACAAACAACATTGTCTTATCTTTGTAATAACCATTTCACTTTTATCAAAAGCAGGCAAGTATTCTGGAAAGTCTCAAATTAATAAGCAAAAATAAGATTATATGAGTACACATTGTTCACCCCCATGATCATGTTTTTCTATAAATATAACCTCTTTTTAACAGCAGTAATACTTTTGGTAAACATTTGTATAGTGTCCAACAGTAAAATAGGGAATATAAAATAACAAAGGCTGATTATAATCTGAAGACAGCATTTGCTGCTTTAATGGTTTACCAATGTGAGCTAGGGTAAAGGTTTAATTAATCCACTGATCTTTGGATTCTCTCTTGACAAACATCTTGAAAAGTTTACCTTTAAAAAAAGCTTCTAGCACAAACTCAAGTCTTCAAAATTGTATTTCATGGAAGTATGGAGACAGTCTGTCAATATGGATGTGGTCTATCAATATGGAGACTCCTATCTGGGTTCAGTATCCAAATGCATGTTTTGAAAACTAATGGCTATTAAATTGACTTGGATTATGGTTATTTGGTAATTTCTGTATTTGGTGAGATTATGGTGAAACACAGTAATACAGCCCCATTCATAAAAAGACTATTGTTTCAACTGACCTGAGCAACAAGGAAAATAACAAGGCAGGGTAAAAGTCAAGTTTATTAAAAATTGTTTGGGGTGGGGGGAAAGTACAAGGCTGGCTGATTATTTTAGGGTATGAGTAGAAATTGAAGCAGTATATATGCTACATGTACATATACCATGGCATAATTACCATTATAGAATAAAAGCAACATGCAATTGTAAACAAATACACAGTTGAGAATACTTTCACTGCCATAGATGTATCTATTATTATACAGATTTAGAATACAGATTACAACAGATACTGTAGAAGCAGAGAAGTAGAGAATATAAACCTTTAGAAATAATGCATATCAAAGCCTAATTCAGTTAGAAAATTGAGTGTGTAACGGAAGTGCCTTCTAATAGCAGCCCAAAAGGTACATACAGCTGGGTACATACCTTCAAGGATGTGCATTCTGACCAGCTCAGACCGGTCTGGTCTGCTGCGAATCTTGTGCTTCAAAAAATTTTCAGTCTTTAAAGAAAGAAGGAAATAGCATTAACTACTGTTTACTAGAAAAATAAAAGTGGTTTGATAAATCACTGATGTCCAATCAATGGCTATTTGCAGTTGTATTCAGGTAGGTGGACACCACTGTTAGAACATGGGCAGTAGA